ATGAAAATTAAGACTTTTATTTTCATCAAGATGGAGCCCCTCCTCACTAGCCTGTAGCGGTGCATCATTTTCTTGATTAAAAATTATCCAATAGGTTGATAGGTAGACAAGGCCCGGTTGAATATCTGCCATGGTTACTGTAGATATGAATATCCATTTTGCTATCTATCCTAGCTGTTCATATAAGGGTTAATGTGAACCGAGAATAAATTTGGAATTGTATCTTCGATTCTGGGAAGAATTTATCTAATATCATTTACGAGAATGACCATACTGATTTCGAAATGTTCTTGTTAATTGTCCAAGATTTTGGTATTTGTAAATATCTTGTTTTGATCAAATATACATGCGTTATATAACGTAGAATTATAATAAGAAACAGCTGCTCATAACTTGTGAAAAACAATCTGTCATTGCCACGCCCATATGCTCATTTCCCCCCTCCCATCCTGCTATGAAAACGTGGGTATTAATATAACTGACGGATGAATACAATTGAATTGGTTATTGAACACGTCTCTGCTATTCATTTCCAATTTCCAGAGCTCTGAATGAGTTGGAAAATATCCATCATCCACAAAGGGCCCGGGCTGATTTTATCCCCGACAGTTACCAGACCAGGGAGTTTTAAAGATAAGGTATATTCAAGAAAACTAGGCACAGTTGATAATATGATTTGGCTTATAAAAGAAGCATGCCATGAACTTGGCAATAAAGGACTTTGTGCCGAAGTGTTCTTGAGTGTGAAAACTAGATTACAGCAATGTGTAAATAGTGAGTAATATGAGCATATAAGAGATTGGACTTAATTGTTTTGTGATATATAATATTCAATATTATATTCACCTATTATTTAAACTGTATTCCTACTTCTGCACACTTCTGTATTATTCACAACACAAGCAATTTATTGGCACTCTAACTCTAAAGGGTGCAAAAAAAAACCTGAATTGCTTGTGCAGTCCAATGATACCTGGTGGACTTGTTAGGCAGCTGCTCCCCAGTTTGATGCAGAGTTGCATTGCTGTACTAATATTGAGCAAACTCATTCCCCACTGGCTAATATGGTGCTCCCACAGAGATCTTTGATACATGCATTATCTGCTCTGACTCAGGGTGCAGCCTGTTCCTACAAGATGGCAACTACGCTTCTTCCACATGGTTCGGAGCTGATGCAACCAGAGGAAGAGTACCATGCTTAAATGGAGCAATTCTTGCAGCGCTTGGATATGCTCTTTGACTGCTTTTGGACCTTGTTAACAGCTTGCAAAGACAAGATGTCCACTAAGCCTCAGATAAGCTCCTGGAGGCGTAATTGAGTGTCAAGTAGGCTACTTTCGGGCCTTCCCGCTGCCCAAACGCATTTTTTTCCCTGCTGTCCGCCCACATAGGCTGAAAGCCTAAAGGAGTAAGGCCCTATTGCATTGTCCATATGAACAGAAGACCTACAGCAGATTGCAGCACAGTAGCGCCAAGGCCTTCAGTTTCTCCCCTACTAATAGGCACCGAGGGGCTGGGCATAGCTCTGGCATCCCTCCCATGGCACTGTGGAAACAAAGGTACAAATGGAAGCGGTGACTGGTGCTGGGGTCTAGACAGCCTAAACTTAATAGCGGCTTCTACTTACCTAGATAGCGAGTTGAATGGGGGAACCCACTCTTATAATATCCAGAGATGGAGGTCATTGATGCCATCAGCGGGAGAGTTTGGTGTCACAGGAATAGTGAGATTTCAACATATGTGGTACACTTTCACACTCTTCCTGCACCACATATGTTAAAAACTCTATTACCGTACACACATTGATCTCCTGCAATAGTTGATACTGATCACCCAGTGGCATTTACCTCCCAAGACTATCTATAGTTCTATCTTGCAGAATGCCACACTCTTTCTCAGTTGAATCAGTTGTTTGTGTTTGTTTATCCTACTACTACTACTACAAAAAAAAAAAATCTGAAGTCTCTAGAAATGTGCCAGATGATTGTCTTCTGTTGCACTCATTAATGTTTGTGTTACCATTGTTATTGGCATTTATTGCTTGATTGGATTTTTTCCTGCACAGAAAAAAATAAAGAATTTTAAAATATAAAAAATAAAAATACTCATTTACATAGCAAACTCTACTGGCCCTACCCATTCCCTAATTGGTTGCGGAAACTGTCTCATGCATTCTACCAGTCCTTCTACTTTAAGGTGTGGACAGCAAAAGTTACTAGTAGCTGCATTTATAGCAAACTGTATTATGCCATGTAGATTTCTGTAGGTAAAATGATGTATTATCACTAGGGAGTCCATTAATGGAATGAGATAACCAACTCTTGTAACATATATTGATTTGGGTTCTTTTTACACTGTGAACCATATGAGCTAAAAAGCTACACCAGATTTTCCCAGGGGGATTCCCTTCTATACTCCCCAGTTCTACACACACGATCTTTAATACACTTATTTTCTAGAAGAACTGTGAATGCTCTTTTTATTTGATAGATATTATACT